TCATCGATTCCAATGTAAGACCTAATCTCAGGAAGGTTTGCGCTGGATAAACCTTGTCTAATATCCCCTCATATCACGAGAGGTGATGTGGTGAATACCTATCGCATAAACTCCTCATGAAAGGTAATTCCAATATGTAAAATAACTTTGTATTTGCAAGTTACAGCAACAAAGATTTCCTCGATGGCATTAAAATTCTGAGCCATCATAATCCTCCAACGAGGTTCTGCGACGTCGTGACCAAACCGTCAAACGTGTAGCGGTGTGAGGCTGGTGTGGCCTTGGTTGGAGGAAGGCTTTGTATATTGATACTATTACTTGTAATAGAAAATCGATTAGTGTATGTGTGTGTGCATATATATATATATATATATATATATATATATATATATATATATATATATATATGTAAACATATATTCATATATGTAATATATATGTGTATGAATGTATATGTATGTATATATATATATATATATATATATATATATATATATATATATATATATATTATATATATATATATATATATATATATATATATATTATATATGTGTGTGTGTGTGTGTGTATATATTATATATATATATATATATATATATATATATTATATATATATATATATATATATATATTATATATGAACATATGTATATTATATATATGTATATATTAATATATCAATATATATATGTATTTAATTATTCATCTATTTATTTATTTGCTGAATGTGCCGGTTATCAAGCACAGAGGATTTATAATGAAGAAGCCGACTTGCGTGAGCCAGTTTTATTGCTACAAAATGATAACGGAAGGAAAACAATAAATTATATAAAAACGGCAAGTGTTGGGTGACAGCTCACACTGCATAATTATTATCGTGAATTGAAAATGATAACATCACGTGGAGGTGAGAACAAGAAATCCCAAAATCCATTCTATTTCAAAGAACGAAAAGTAGGTAACAATGCGTGAGTTGTGGAAGAGGGGACTTGGCTAAACGACCTTTATAGTCACATTGGGGATTATCACCGTGAATTATCGACGAGATGGGATTGACCTGGAGATACCTTGGCATGGATTCGAACACACGCATTCATTTGACTTCCGGGAGGGGCGATTGGCTGAAGATACCTTGGCATGGATTCGAACACTGTCACTCTCTCTTGTTTTCGGGATTGCCGAGGAGATATCTTGGCAATGAATTCGGACACACTCATTCACTTGTCTTCCGGGAGGGCGATTGGCTGAAATACCTTGGCATGGATTCGAACATATTCTTTTTCAGAGGAGGATTGGCCGAGAGATACCTTGGCAATGGATTCGAACGCACTCATTCACTCGTTTTCAGGGAGTATCCTGAAGATACTCTGGAAAAATTCGATCACAGTCATTCCCTTATTTTCGTGGGGTGGGGTGAGGGGTCGCCACTTTGACATACGAGGGATTAAGAATGAGATTTTTCTCTTAAAGGGTTGAACACCGGGAAAGCTCCATCGAAACTCTTATTCAAGTCTTGATCAACAAGCAAATGATAGTCTTCGTGAGCAGTGACGCTACAGGTAAGGTTACGCAGCATGGCTTATTGGCCGGGAACGGTCGACGAAAAGGGACGGGCTTAATCACCGAAAAGATACTAGGCTTCAAGGTCAAATGGGCGGGGCCAGTGGCTTCTTGCGTCATGGACAGAAGTCGGACAGTCGGCGACGCCCGAGAGGCACGAGAGAGCGCGCGGCGGCCGCTCGTGCTTGCAGGAAGGCGAGTCGCCGGTCCGAACAATGCAGAAGAAAGTCGCTTTCCTGCATGTTGACCGTGCATGCAAGGAAGCTAGGGTTCCTTCGGGCGGTCAGAGAGAAACGGTCCACTTGACTCTCGCGTCATTAGATGAACTTGTATCAGAGAGGCAGTAAATGTCACCTTCTGAAGATATGGAATATTCATCACTACTTTGTTTGGAAAGCAAATTCGCTCGCAGGAGACATGACTTCATGTCCACGAATAGCTAATGAAAGATCAACATTAGCTTCTTAAATATCAACAAACACAATCAATTTTGATAAATTCTCTGATGGTCCATAACAATTTAGATCATATAAACTTATATATTACGTGCCCAAGACTCAGTTCCGTGAATCATAACAAAATCGACTTTCCTTCTAAGCTGTGTCTGGGTGGAATACATTCAGGGAGAAATTCAAAGAAGGAATATCAAACAGTAGTGAAGGGTAAGATATTCTAAATATGAGATGAATTATGGAAAAATTACAGGAAATAGCAATGTTGCGAGACTGTTTTAATAAATGTAACTTGTAAACGTTAGTGCACAATGCAATGATTAATTATCTGTAGCCTCTTCTTGAAAACGAACGTTACATATGCAGATCATATGGCAGTGTCCTTGTACTTGTTTTCTATGTTATTTTTAGTCGTAGAGTCTTTAAACTTTTCTCTAAATATAGGTCGCAAATCCCAGAAGTGTATCTTATAGTCAAGCTACATTCTTTCTTTCCTCCCTATACCAAAATAACCCATTGTGTCAACTACATGTTAACTGGACTGCGATGATTGTAGACATGGTGTTGAACTATGTGGTGTTGTACGTCGTGTTCACTGTGTTGTTCAATTTTCAGTGTAAGAGTGAAAAGGGGACAATCGGTGGAAGAGAATAATGATAAGGAGAGAGAACCCCCAACTACGGTGAGCGAGGTGCACTGGAGTCAAAGCACGGTGCACGGAGTGTGGTGAAGGCAAGTACTGTGGAGGAGACACGTGGAAGGATCAGCTCTGAAGAAAGGAGTCAGTGATGTCTCTCCTGTGAAAGAGAATTCTTGAAGCGTGTCTAAGCCTTCGGAAAGGTTTTTGCCCTTAAGCACTGTCAGCAGCTGATTGCGCCTTCGCATTCCGGCAATGATTGTTCGGTTTATCGTCAGCCGCCAATAATATGGTCTTCTTTACCAGATTAAGGGACAATGGAGAAAATGCTACGCATGATTTTTCCACCACATCGACATGGCATTTTCTAATGATATATGAAGGCTGGCCACTCCTCATTAAAGATAATTCCAAAACATAAACAAGAAAATGATCACAGTTTTACAACAAACTCAGTTCAGTATCAAAATTAGTCTCTCATTTTAGTCATATTCAACAAAATAACAATACTTATTCACATGATATTCTGCAGTTCCATTCTTGTTACAATCATGTCCTTAGCTATCATAATGCGCACGGAATTCCGGAAGCCAGAATGAGCAATCATTGCAACGCGCCTTTCCCTTCCCTTCGCACACCGCGCCGTCCTTCTCGGACCCTGCGCCGGGGGCTTGGGCGTGGGAAGAACCTGCGTCCGTCGCCCGCCTCCCGGACACGATACGTCTTCGCGTCGTCGACGTGACGTCGCCGCGCGTGTTGTGTTGGCGCCCTCCGCCGGGTGGAGGTGCGTGTGGTATGCAAATCGTGAGAGTTCTTTCGAGAGCGCTTTTCACCAGAACACTACAGGCTTCCGTTTTCCTTTTTTATCTATTGTGGGCGGAGCGAAATTTCGGAAAGAGCATTTACTCGTTCTTCGCCAGGATCGAAGATCTCAGTCATTCACCGGAAGTGTAAACCATCTAAACTTGGCAACGTAGTGTCTGGCCAAGCGCGGGCGACTAAAATCTCCCTACAAAGGCCAACGGATCTCTTTCCTTCTCAACACAAAAGGCGGGCAGGAGGGAGCTTCCAGAAATAAACGTTAGACTGACTCGTGAGAATGGCAGACGAATTCTATGCGCGCAGTCTCAGCTACCTATCCGTGCCATGCATCAGCAAGGCCAGTTGACATGCAACTCATCTTACTTATGTACATAACAAGAGCGTTGTGCGATGATTCTAAGGTCACTTCTTGCGAAAATTACTAAGAAGCTGTCTAGCGATCATTATTAGTGACCGTTGGCTTGGATGGAGGGGGGACAGCGCCCCCTCGCGACCTGCTTAAAACGAAGCCGAAAAGTGTTCCTATACTTCCTTTGCGTAATCCCGTTTCAGTACTCGTAATACTAAGCGATGAAGATTTGTTTTAATTTTGCGAATGAAAGCTAGACAGCCATTGCATATCGACAGTTTAAGCTAGGAAAAACCTCGTGCCTCTGTATCATCTACGGATTCTAGCACTTGAAGCTAACAGGCAATTTATTAGATCATAAACCCGCTATCTGTATTATAACCTAACCTAAAGTTTGGCCGAAAATGTTCGAGTGATATGGGCCATAAAGGCGACATTATAAAGCCTGGCCATGGAAAGCCCACCTTAAAAGACATTGCAAAATATAACCTCCACCTACACACAACCGACATGGTCCATGCCAACAGTATTGTCAACAGTATTTCATTCAAGTTTAACAACAGTATCCACAAACACCATAGAATAAGCACCTCTGATACCCGCATGAAGGTCGTAACACTCAGTGGAAAAATATCGTCTTCACAAGAAACACCAAAGACACGGACGTTGTTGGTCACAAACACTCGAAAATAACAACACTGCGCCGACGTCGCTGCACCGCCCCGACGTCGGCGGCGCGCCTAGACGTCGGGATGCTGGCGCGACGCCGATGCCACAGTACAATAAAGGGTCGAACACGTGTCGCATCCGGTGCATGCGACACGTGGTTGTCAGCTATTCTGTGTACACTACACATTCATGTCTTTTAACCGCTGTCAAAGACGGGGCTCACCTTTGTCCGGGGCAACACAGGATGGCTTCGTTCAGCCATTCCTTCATTGCAGGGGCTAAATGACGTCATAGAAATGCTCCATCACAAGATAAGCGTGGCGTTTCATTGAAATGACATCAGAAAACAGCGTAAATGAAAGAGGAGGCCAGACAATAACACCTTAGTATTGTTTCCCAAAACTCGGCGAGTCCCAAAATGTCAAGAGCATGTTTATGCATTTCGTTCTCTCAGTGTCTGTGGCACACGTCACTCGGCCCAAATTTGTTCTGCATCTCCTCCATGATC